AGAAGTGTACTCTGAAATCATGGCAACAGTGATGAGACTCATAAACTTTTTGAGAGCATCATCTTCACTGCAGCATCGTTTGCTTCGCACATTCCTGACAGAGGTCAATGCAACTTTTGATGATTTGCTCCTGCACAACAACATCAGATGGCTGAGCAAAGGCAAGGTCCTGGAGCGTTTTTGGGCCATTAGGAAAGAGCTGCAAGTGTTTCTGTCAGAGCAAAAGAGTGTGAAAGCAAAACAGTTCATGGAATTCATGCAAAATGAAGAGAAGATGGAAGCTGTTGCATTTTTGGCTGATATAACATCTCATCTCAATGACCTAAATCTCAAGCTACAGGGCAAGAACAACACAGTGTTTGAGCTGATGTCAGCAGTGCGTGCTTTCCAGAGGAAACTGGAGGTTTTCAAAAGTGACCTACAGGTAAGCCTTTTTAATATTTTCTACCACTCACATTTCCTGGATTCCAATGAACACCTTTTTGATACTTTATCTTATACGCTTTTAAGCAGTGCTCCTTATATAATTTTCTTATTTATTTTTGTATATTTTCCTACAGGAGGGACTGCTCCACTTCCCCACACCTTTGGAACAGACCAAAGGAGAAAATCGTCCTCAGAATCATGTTGCATTCCTGGAGAAGCTGATTGAAAACTTCAAGATTCGCTTTGATGACTTCAGATTAGGAAAACAAGTCCTACTGTACATTGAAAACCCATTTCTGGTCAGAAATTTCAGAGAGTTCTCTGCAGAAGCACAACAAATCTTCCCATGGGCCAGTGCTGCTTCTCTGCAAAGTGAGTTGATTGACCTCAAGGAAAACCTTGCACTGAAAGAGGCTGACTGTGACACTCCCACCTTCTGGACAAAGATGGTCACTGCAGCTAATTTCCCTCTCCTGCATAAGATGGCACTTCACATTCTCACAATGTTTGGCTCAACCTACAGGTGTGAGTCTGCATTCTCAACAATGAACATGGTGAAGAACAAGTACCGCAGCCGACTCACCAATGAACACATCAGTGTGTCCGCCTGGCCATCACGCCTTTTGTGCCAAAGTTCAAAGTCTTGGCAACAGACCAAAGGTGCCACTTCTCTCATTAAACAAAAGTGTTTGACACAATGTACAATAGTTCTGGACTTATTTTGACTTTGATTCTTGGGATGGTTTGATTCACTTCGAGAGTTTTTGTTTTTGCAACCTCCTGTTAAGAATATTGTTGCAATTGTTTGAATGACCATATTAAACGGACCTTTGTCTTGTTGAACATTTTCTTTGTGGACCTTTAAGATTTGTATGTGAGTACCCCTGGTATAGGGTGTCCTCCGACCCTTGTTAGGGCTGCTCGATTATGGCAAAAATCATAATCTCGGTTATTTGGGTCAATAATTGATATCACGATTATTAAAAACATCAATTTATTGGATAACAAAATTCGAACAGTATGTTTTCAACAGTTGATTACCCTGAACTTTAAGTATAATTCAACTGAAAAACCAATTAAAAAAAAATGTAATTAAAACAAAAAAAGTAATAATAATAATAAAAAGATTATCGTTTTATTTCGATTACTTTGTTTTCGTAATCGTTGAAAGCCATAATCGTAATTGCAATTAAAATACGATTAATTGAGCAGCCTTAAAGGTTTTCTATACTTGTCTACTCTATGTGTGTCTTAATTGTCCCAATAGCTGAATTATAATCTCCTTGTACCAACACATTTTAAGTCTCTATTATGTTTGTTAATTGATGTTATTTAAATGCTTCCACGTAGCTCACTCCACACAATAGTAGTTTCCAGAAGCTTAGAGAGTATGTTGGCACTTTACATACAATTAGCATTTTTAAAGTCATATTAAGAGCTTGTCACAAAAAGCTGATGCTTAACAGTTTGTGTTTCAAAATCCAACATAATCTTTTTTGGAGATTAAGTATTTGCCATTAATTTATTTCAGTCAGAAAACTCACGTGTTTCTTGATATGTTTATTTCAGCATATAGTTTGAGTTTGGCGTCCAGGCTCTGGCCTCATCACTCCACAGATTTACAAAGAACATTGAGTGATGATTAGATAACTATCCCCCGAGCCTACAGGTGGAAGCATTATCGAGGCAGAGGCAGCAGATCTTGCAGCTTAATATAGAGCGGCATGTTTAGGAAAATGTGTTTGGTTGGGTGTAAGATGTATCATTGGTGCTCGAGCTGACTGCCAGAACTAGCTCGCAGACTTCGCCCCATGTATTCATTTAGCCTTTTTACAGGTAATGTCACTGGCCGCCTATAACTAGAAAATAATACCTGAACCTTCCTGTTATCTCTCAGGCAGTGTTGATTGACAGAAATGTAAATTAATCTTCTGTAAACACATTGTGGAGCCCTCTAATAACCACCACCACACCCCAGTGGCCTTCTCCAAAAAACTTTAAATATTTTTGTCAGGCATTGCAGAATTTCATTAACCTTTGGGATGCTTTGTATTTTCCAAAATGCGTTTTAGGCGCTACCGACCAAGATTTTGATAAGCCCTTTTCACAGCCTTTTGAGTGTTTATCAATATTTCAAGCTTTTTTTTTGAAGAATTTGCATGCCGATGAGGTCTCACTGTTTGGGGTTTGATTCATAATCGAGAGGTGTTTCTTCTGTTTTTTGTCTATTTATTCTTTGGGCTTGTCTTTTAGCATGTTCTGCCTTTTCTTAACTGAATATCTGGAAAGGGCATCCGGAATCCAGCCCTTTAATTTAAAAAAAAATACTAACTTCAAGACGAGGGATCAGAAGTGGCAAAATTCTAACTCATTTCTGTCTTTTAGGACTTCTACACTCTATTTAACTTGCTTCAATAGTATTAACCTCCCCTTAAATGATTTGTTTTGAATGTTTCATCAGCATTTATGTGTCATTCACAGAGTTACATCAATGCGTGTTGTGTTTGTGTTTATGCTTATATTTCTCAGAACTCTTTTCATTCCTGACCTCCTCTGCCCTAATAAAAGCGCTCGCCATCCTCTCATGATTAACAATCATCAGCAGCACCGCATGAGCCCTTCCTGGTCTACTTTGTTTTCCCCAATCCTATTGAAGGATTACAGCCGAGTACCTCCTGCTTTGCCTGCTTGGTTATCAAGCACAAGCCATATTGACAGGGCAAACATCAAACGTTGTCTATTTACCCACCGGCAAAAAAGAAGGGAAATAAATCACAAAACCTTTATTCCTTGAGTCAAGTCCATCTGTCTTTCTAAGAGTAGATGTTGATACACCATGAAAAAAAGCAGACGGCCCCTCATCATTATTCCACAGTTTAGAGTGTTGTGAATGTGATTGGTGTGCTGGCAGGGTGGTGATTGATAGGCTGACTGGCATACATAATGTAGCCTGAGGCAAGAGGGCGAAAAGCCTAAATGCGCCGGTGAAGATGGCCGCATTGTCGTTTGGCTCCTCTCCAACTTTGCCCTTTTTCGTATTTTGTGCGTGTTTATTTACTTTTTGCCGTTTGCTTTTAACATGGTTCGCAACATGCAAGCCGACCGCACCAACTCTGCTATACAATATAGCAGAGAGGAACTTCTTCACATCAGAAACTTTGTGGACAATAGCCCACCGATAGACAATGGAGATTCGCCATGGCTACCTGTTGCTGGCTACCTGAGAGACGCAGGAGGAAGTCCGAGCGGGGGTCCCGCGCCGGGC